TTTTAAACTAGTAGGTATTGAAATTAAGGTTTATGGGGCCCTGCTACAGTCTCCTGCCCAATTCCCCAGGAAAACTGACATTGGAGAAGAAGAAATAATCCTCATGTTAGTACTTTTCAGCCAGTTCTTTTCCTGACCCAAGAGATCCAGCTGGTTAACTTGGGTAGGAGTTGGTTGGCCTTGTCCCACACCCTAAGTTACAGCCTGCTTCTCATTTTCATTACCCTCCTCCTGCTGGCTCCGCTGAGGAGCCCTGAAGGGAATGGCCCTTTCCACCCCACCACCCAGAGCTGTGCAAGATGATCACCCACATGGGCAGCACTGGGCCCCACACTCAGGTGCAACCATCTTCTTGGCAAGTGCTGTGCTCGTTCAAGTGCACAAGGCTTTTGAATACATTTTTGAAAATAGCACAGACATCGTATCTTGCCCTGTTAATCTTCCAACATTTTAGAAAACCTTACCATTCAAAAATAAATGAAGCTACATAAAGCACTGACCAGATCTACAAAAACTTGGGCCGAGGGTAGAGCCGAGAGTGCTAGAGCACTCGCCTTGCACATGCAAGGTGTTGATCCCTAGCGCCGAAAAACCTTTTTTTCCCCAAAAAATGTGACCAAGGATGATTAAATGAAATACTAGTTTTGTTTTTAAAAAAAACTGTTAAAAAAAGATTTTAAAATGAAGCTAAACAGACATTTAAAAAATATCCAAAAAAGGAAATAATTGTTCAAGGATTACACAGTTTGATAAAGCCCCAGGGTTCTAAAACGTCACAAGATGCAGCTCATCCAGTAACACTGAAAAAAGTAACCTTCCTACTTCCAGAAACACTGAAACTCCCACAAAAAACCTGAGACCAACATTGGGAGCTCACAGGATAAAGCTGTAACTCAAGACGAGAAATGATGTCCAAACTGTACGCTAAGTTATAAACAACAGGTGAACATGGCAGAGAAGATTCCATGACGAAGTCTTCCCTAACGTGCTGATTTACTCTGTGAAGTACATTGATGGGAAGTCCCTCATATTTCCTGATATCTTGTCACTTAAATTCATACATGCGTGCCTGGCTGTATTTAAAAACATATAATAAGATAATAAAAATGAAGATGGGAATCATATCCATAAGATGGAATGTCAGGCAAGAGCACGATTTTCCAGCTATTGTCATTATTAGATTTTTCTCTTCAGTCACCTGAGTTTGTTCTTTAGTCAAATCTGCCACAGTCAGTGATGAGGTACAAAAGGAAAAGGAATGAATGGGCCTCCATTACCATCCCACTACACTACTCACATGCAGCCATTAGGTGGCTTGATTACATGGAAATAATAAAGTTCAAAAAAAAAAAAAAAAACTAGGTCAACTAGTGAGCAGACACTTTTAAAGAACTTAATTTAGCACGATGTTTTAAAAGCCTAAATTACTAATTTCGTATGTCTTCAGTAACCTGTTTCCCAGAAAAAAAGGCCACAGATTTCCCTCAAAGAACACAGAATTGTTAGTGGTAACTATAGTTTTCAGAAGATGAGAAACACAGGGCAAAGGAACAGGGATAAAAGAAAGACAACAATTATAAAGTAATGTCAATCAAGCACATCACCCTTACAATATTCCAAGCACCATTTGAAGCACCTGACATCTGTGTAACGTTCACAGTCACACCGGCGTAGGGTTGATGACCATATTCACTTCCGTAGCGCATGTGTGCGCGCGTGGTTTTTCTGAAACAGGGTCTCGCTATGCTGCCCAGGCTGGCCTTGAACTTGCAATCCCCCTGCCTCAGCCTCCCGAGTGCTGGGGTTACAGGAGTATTCCACCTGTCTACATGTGAGTTGCAGAGAAGCTAGGTGAGCTGCTGGGCCGCACAGGCGATGGGTGGTGCAGCTGGCGTCTGAACCAGGCAGTTAGGCTCCATGGTGCATCTTAACATAGCACTGGTGACACATCTTCTCGTCTCACCTGCCCGACATTACGAGGCTGGCAGTGTCCGATTTGCAGTTGGGTTATGGAGGCATTGTGTAAGAATTACATGGCAGTACAAGCCTGCTACAGTGATCCATGCACACTCATGTTCACAGATGCACAATTCGTAATAGCTAAATCTTGGAAGTGGCCTCTATGTCATCAATAGATGAGAGATAGAGGAAATGTAGCATTTACACGCTGTGGAGTATCACCGCCATAAAGAACGAGAAACCTGATTCCTCCGTACAAAAATGGATGCATCTCGAGACCATAATGTTAAGTGAAATAAGGTTACACACACAAGCTTAAATATTGAACACTTTCTCTTAAATAAGAAACACAAAAAGGGCTGGGGATTTATTTCAGTGGCACCGTGCCTGCCTCCTAAGCACAAGGTCCTGAGTTCCATCCCTGGTATGGAGGGGGCAGGGGTGGAAGAGACACACAAAGTATAAATAAAGTAAAAAGCAAAATAAAAGACAGATAATTGGAGACATGGAAATAGAGCTTTTGTAAAAGGAAAGAGGACCAAGAGGTGTGGGGGGAGAGGAGGGAAGGAGGATATAAAAGTCAGTAAGATGCATTATGTAAAGGTGCTAACTTCCCACGAGGCATGGATCCTTAGGTACCGCAAACATGGACTAATCAAAGTACGAGCTAAAAAAATGGCAGTGGAGCTGAGATTCCAAGTCAGAGGTTTTAGCCTCCAAACCCCAAAGGAAGAGGAAGACCAAGAGGAATTTCCTCAGCTTGATTAAAGAGATGCACAGTCCCTGCGGGCTTTCAGCAGCTTGGCTGGAGATAAATGACTGACCCTGCTCTGGCGGAGTTGGTTCCGCCCACGGCCCGACCCCAAGCCTACCGCAGCAAGTGACAGTCTGAGGGCCCCTGCAAGTTCTGATCCTTCCTCCTCAGCACAGCCCTCCCCACGCTCGACAGCTCTTCTCCCAGCCCCTTCCCAGGCGCATGCCGCCTGCTGGGCAGGTACTGTCCCGGGGGCTCGGATGTGTAAGTGAAGGAGAGCAAGATCCTCACTCTGTGCCCTGGCACGTGGCGGGGTGAAAATTTACTAAAGAAATAAATGAATTAATCAGGAGCGGCAGGGTAGAAGCCAAAGGTGGCGGATGGAGACTACAGAGAAAAGCAACTATTTGATTTTGATCTATGAACTCCTCACATTTACTAAAATCTTAATGTGCTTGTGACTAATAAGGATGATCTTTCTATCGTTTAACTCATGTTTAAAAGCAGAAATGCACTGAGGACATTTCAATTCCCATGGTGACCGTGCTGCAGGTTCTGAAGGAGAGCCCGCATTCAGGGTGCAGGACTCGGCTCTTTGTCAGACTGCACTTGCCAGTTCCAGCCCCCGGAGCTCAGCCGTGCTTACTGCTTTCCAAGGTGTGCTTTCTTCCAGCAATCCGAGGGGTTTGTCTTGAAGCTCATTTCAGTTCTCGCAGTGGGGTTGCAGGCTGCCATCCATGTCGTCATCCACTCCCTCAATTAGAGGCAATGGCATTTCACCTCCGTGCAAAGTGTTAGTGAATTAACAGTCCCCACTCTGCATTCATTTGTGAAATCTGCTCTGCTTGTGACGACGATCGTGCCATGCAGGGAGAAACCAGACACTGCCAATTCCGCCAGGCCCTGCAAACATCATTTAAAACACTAACTCTGCCTTCAGTCTGCAGGGTCAATGTCCTTCTTTAGGACATGGGGCAGAGGTCAGCCCTGGTAATCAGTGGGGGATAAATCACACAATAACCCCACAGAAAATAACCACAAATAATCACTCCAATTTCCCCAAATCTTTCTTATTACTTGACATCTGTTTAAGACCAAAAATTGAACTCTGGCATGGCAAACAATGTTCAGATCTGATTTGAAACTCTCAGACATGACAATTTGGTCTCAAAGAGCAAATCACAATGAGTAACACTGTGAAGAGATCAGTCACACGGTGTGACTGTCTCTTTCAGGACCAAGGGTGTCTTAGTCTAATGTGCAGAACTTTAACCCAGGAATTCTGAAGTCACAGGAGTGCGGTGGATTTGCCTAGTGCTTGTGAAAGATGTCTTATGTGCATCTCTCCAGGGGTGCGCAGACCCACCAGGATGACAGGAGGGCTGTGCTGGGCCTGCTGTCTCCCAGCTGTCACCAGGCTGCAGTGGATTTAGTGTTCTCCTGCACAAAGGGCTTTATTCGGATGGCCAAGTATCCTCTTTTTCTCCCTGTGGTTTAATGCTTGAATGTGGCATTGTGGGGCATCATGAATTGGGCTGAGGCTTCACCTCTAATGTTCAAGATTCTAAAAACAGCATTAGGTGCCACCTCATTGGCGCACTAAATACCACTAGCTGCAAGCAAGTTAACCATTTAGGAAAATATTCGTATTTGTACCGTGTCTCTTACTGTTTGCATTGCATCAAAATAGCAGAAAGATTCATGCCTCCCGTTCCATACTTCTTTATGACAAGTCAAACCCTTAGAAAATTTCTGGATCTCATTTCTGCACGTAGTACCTTCTAATAAGCAAAGGCCACCTTAGAATTTAAATCTACTAGAACACCACAGTGGCTGTCATTCAGCTATCAAGTTTAGGTGATTTTCAAACATCTGACAAAATGGGAAGACATTGCTTAAAATCACAACAAGTACTTACTGCCAAATACTTTTTTTTTTTTAACCTAAGGACCACAGAATCCTAGATGAGGTTAAATTTTACTATCTTGTGCAAGAATCAACTAAACTAAAATGAAAGGTCATTAAAGCTACAAAAAGGCTCATCAGGTCAAAATGATTATTTTTTATTGGTTCTGCCCCTCCTCCCCAAGCCACTTTTTTTTTTTTGTACTGGGTATTGAACTCAGGACCTTGTGCTTACGAGACAGGCAACAGAAACACTGAGCTAAATCCCCGGCCCATCAAGCCACTTTTTAAAGCAAATAGGATTTCTAAATGTGAACATGGACTAATTAGAAATCAGAATGATCATCCTGGTGTAGGAGGTATGAAAGGAGAGCTGACTTACGGTCATGATGAGCCCCTTTTCTTGGAAGTATTTAACCAACGGCGCGGCATTCTGCTTGAAGTTCACGAGTCTCCTTTGTGTAGCCTTCAGGTTGTCATCAGGCCGCCCCTGCTGCTCGGCCCTCTTCAGTAACCTTTCTTTGAGCCGCTGGTTGGTGCAGGTCAGGAAGACCACCAAGTCAGGAGTACAGATCTGTGGGCATCAGACAGGCAGAGGGCATCAACAACCTGACTGGGTCAAGGGAGGGCAGTGGCACTCGTTTCTGCTTCTGTTGACACTGTCATCTATTTGGCCTTCTAGTTTTTGCCAGTACATTTCCTGGGCTGCCATTCTCCAGAAGGCCCGGGGTTGGCCGTTCCCATCGTAGTTCCTGTGAAAGGCATCTTTCACCCATATGGCCACACACAGGGCTCCTCTGTCCTTGGGGAACACTTTTTGGTCTCTGCTCATATACATTCCCAGATGGATTAAGAACAATACAGACCAAACTTTGCCAAAAATCTATGCAACCTGATTTTGGAGGGGAGATGACTTTTGGGTCACAGATGCTGTCCACAGCAAACATACACTTCTATTCTTACCATCTGCAGCCACTTAAAAAATAATCCCTTGTATGCCGGGCCAAATGAATGTTAAACCATCTCCTGGACTTTGCAACAATCTGTAACGTAAGTATTCTTTCCATTTTATAGGAGAGCAAACTGTAGCTCTGAGAAATTATATACTTGTCTGATTGCATGGTCAGTGAGGTAGAAGTTGCTACCTGAGCCCGTCTGTTTGGTCCTCAGCCTGTGTTCCTTCCACGGTTACAGAGCACCAGAAAGCCCTATAGCCTTCAGGAATGTCTGTAAATACTATGGAATGACATGGAAAGAGCCTATGGAATAAATAGCTTTTACTGTACTACATTAGAACTAGTATTGCACTGAAAAGGTGACCAGACACATGCAGGAAATGAGAGTTTATTGTTGACTATGGGACAGGGTAGAAAGGCAATCTGCCACGGTGGCTCGAAGCAATAATTCCCCCAAATTTTAAATTGTATCTTCACACTAGGAAATATTGGGGGACATATACCCTAAAAAGAATATTCTTGTTAATCGATAAATAACACATTTATATGATATGCATGTATGGCCTAACTAGCCTAGAATGCACATTATAAAATACACACAAAAATACAACATTTTAAAAATTAGGTGCAATAATCGTAATTTTAAATATTTTCTTTCCACACAACACCAGCTTGCCTGGTGGTCTCTGATAAACTGCTGGTCAGAAAACAGACTTGGGTGGCTGGAAGATGAGAACTGCAATTTTTGCCCCAGTTCTTATCAGCCGAGTGGTGGGCAGGCGGCTGAACTTTGCCAAGCCTTTTTGTCCTCATTTACCAATAGATATACAGGAAAGCTACTCCCCCTGATTTATTATGAAGATTAAGTGAAACAAAATGCACAGCACAAACTCAGTGCACGTTAGCCACATTAGTGTCTCAGTTTTCATGGTTCTGTGTGGTCCTGGTTCTCCTCTCCCTTTTTGTTTTCATTTTGTTGGTTTTTTCTTTGCTCACATTTTCCTCCTCCAAACCCAAGGAGAGATATTTCTCAGGGCTCAGATCACACTTCTCTCCTCTCTGGGTTTTTATTCTCACAGTGCCTTCCACTGTTTTAATTTCAGCTACTCCCTTGTGTGCACAGATTCCAAATCTAAATCTTCACTGCTGCTTTTCAATAACCCCTTAGTGCTGGATTTTCAAATCTCTATGTGACAGGTCTTTTGGGAAGTTTTTAATGTCCCTGGGATTCAGCAAGGACAAAAATTAATCTCAGCACCTTTCGAACCTAAATCAAATTCCTGTGTTATCTATTTGCTTATTTATTTTTATGACAGCAACTCTTCTTCCCTAACCCTCTCAGCTAAAAGCCTTAGTCTTACAGTATTACCTTTAACCCTGACTCGTCAAAGCTTCAATCACTACTGCCTACCAATTTTGTCTTTGAAATGCCATCCAGATTCAAATTCAACTTTTCCCAATGATTTTAAAGATCCAAATGTACAAGGTAAATGGATACAGAATCTAGAAGATGAAATGTAAAAAAAAAAAAAAGAAAAGAAAAAAGAAAAGAAAAATAGCTTCTAGATCTTAGAGTGGGCAGGATTTTCTGAATAACACCTAAAAAACTCTAGTCACCAAAGAAAGAAGTCCAGAAACTGGATTGCTTTGATTAAAAAACTTTTTTACTAAAACACAGAAAGACTATGAAAACATCAGCTAGACATTGGGAGAAGTTATTTGCAACACATATAATCAATAAAGGGTTTGTTTAAAAAATATGAAAATAAATCTTACAAATCAACAAGAAAAAAATGGTAGAAAAAATGGGCAAGAAACTTGAATGTATGTTTTTTATAGATGAGGATAGCCATGTAATTAATTGAAAAGGTTCCAACATCATTAATAACCCAGAGAATACAAATGATTATGGTTTGTGTTTAGCTGTCTCCCCCAAGGCATCATGCGGATGAGGTGGGACTTTCTTCTTCAGAGGCGCTGAATCTGGGATGTGTGATGCTGGGGTTAAGGGCGGGTGATGACTAAAGCACTACATGTGAGCGATTAGTTTGGCACCTCCCTCATCCCAGTAGTCTGAATAGGATAAAGGGGGCAGAAACATGCTGTTAAACTCTCTTGCTACCTTTGCTACCTTGTGCGTGCCATGTTGTTTCTCCTCTGTGATGCCTCTTTGCTATCCCAGCCTTGTACCAGCTGATTATGGACTGAAACCTCTATAAATTGGAACCCAAATAAACCCCTCCCCTTCTAATTTTGGGTGTCGGATATTTTGTCTCAGCAACAAGAGAAAAGTAACTAACACAGAAATTTGCTACCAGGAGTAGGGTCTTTGCTGTGACATTACCTGGCCATGTGGCTCAAAAGCCTTTGGAACTGGCTTGGGGATGGGGAAGAGCTAGCTAGGAAAGATTCAGAGCTGCTGGCTACAGAAGCAGTAACGGAATGCCTTAGGCTGTTTGGTATAAGAAATTCTGGTCAGAGCTTAGAAGACCAGAAAGCCAGTAAAAACCTGGCTCAGGAGATTTCTGCTGGAAGAAGGACTGCACTGGCTATTGAATTACAGATGTGTGTTATGGCTTGGCAGAAAGTTTGTCTGCATTTTGTTCGTGTCCACAGACTGCCTGACTGAGATTAGCAGTGGACTAATTAATCTTAGAGAAGAAATTTCAAGGGGCTGGGGTTTTAGCTCAGTGTTTCCACCACCTGCCTCACAAGCACAAGGACCTGAGTTAGATCCCTGGTACAAAAAAAAAGAAATTTCAAGGCAATCAAATATCGAGTGGTGGAATGGCTACTGTTGTGAGCTTTTAGCTCGTTCTATGTTGAGAATCAAGAGTACAGAGCCCAGCAGAATGAGTTTGGCTAGAAAGGAAGCTCCAGTAAAGCCATAGACTGCAAAGATAGAGCAGAGGAGATCTTGATTGCTGAGAAGGAATGGGAGAATAGAAAAGATGGCGTGAGAGGAATCAGCAGGAATCTTTGTAGCCTCAGAGTTGTAAACGTTAAAGATTTTGCTTTGAGAAGAAAGCCCCAGACCACTATGTTCCATAATGGCAGCAGCCTAGGGAAGTTGTTCCAAAATGGTGGCCTAGGGAAAGTGTTCCAAATGGTGACCTAGGGCCAGGTGTGGTGGTGCACATCTGTAATCCCAGCACTTGGGAGACTGAAGCAGGAGGATCACTGTGAGTTCGAGACCAGCCTGGGCTAAATAGTGAGTTCCAGGTAAGTCTCAACTACATAGTGAGACTCTGTCTCAAAACCACCCCCAACACAAACAAACAACAAACAAAACAGAATTGTGGCCTAGGGAAGTTGTTCCTTGGAATTTTGTTCATAGGCACTGGACCCGCACAACCAAGAGAGAGGGAAGATTAGCTATTACTGCTACTATTGCTACTGGCAGCAGGACGTGGCATCATCTACCTGGCACTGGTTTTAGGCCCATGCAGAATGAGTTGTGGGGTCAGGAAGACTTCCACCCAGATTGCAGAAGGCCTGGGAGGCCAGGCAGTGCCCCTGAGAGGTAAGTGTGTGAAGCTGAAGGTGCAGTGGCAACCACAGAAGTTTGGAGAAGCCAGGGGTGTGGATTGGCTGAGGAATACTGCAAGGAGGGAGCAGAGCTGGCCCAAGAAGGAAGCCATGGAAGCCACAACCACCAGAAATGCCAAAGGGGTGGAGCCATTCAAGCCCTTTGGAGTTCACAACTCACCACAGATTGTCTTGGGTGCTGGAAATGGAACTGTGGAATGTTATGTTTGGCTGGCTGGATTTTGGATTTACTTTGGCCCTGTTCCTTTATATCCTCCTGTTTGTACCTTTTGGAATGGTATGCCTATCTTGTGCCATTGAATGTTGGAGATGTCTGATTTTCTTTTCATTCATACAGAGACTTGCAACTAAGAGTTTGCCTCAAATCTGAGGAGACTCTAGACTTGGACTTTTTCAGCAATGCTGAAACTATTAGGACTTTGGCAACTTGTAGAGATGGACTAAATGGTTTTTTGCATAAGGGGATATGCGTGAGTCTTTGGGTCAGGGGCAGAATGTTATGGTTTGGGTCTAGATGTCCTTCCAAAGCCTCATGTAATCATTGGATGAATCTAGAGTGTGTGAAACTGGAATTGATTCATGATGAAATGCTAGGCTCAAGGGCACTTGGGGTTAAGGGTGTGAGTGCTAGCAGCCCTAAGTAGTCTGAATAAAAGAGGCAGGGAGATGCTGTTAAATTCCTCTTGCTACCTTTGCTGCCTTGTATGCACCACGTTGTTTCTCCTCTGTGGTGCCTGTTTGTCATCCCAGCCTTGGAGCCAGCTGATTATGGATTGAAACCTCTATAAACTGTAGGCCAAATATTTGGTATTTTGTCTCAGCAATGAGAGAAAAGTAATTAACATACAAATCAAAATGACATACCCACCGAAATGGTAAAAAAAAGACTTTAAAAAGATCTACAAGGACGCTGACAAGGCCATACAGCAATTGGAGCAAGTTTCCCATGATTCCCTGGATGGCACGCTCAGAACCTCGGCAACACTGCGTGCTGCATTCTGTTCTGGGCACCAGGGATGGAAGTGGAGCACGAGGGCAGCCATTGCCTTGACTATGAGAAGCCCGGCCACCTGGAGGGGGTGAATCTGCACCGAAGAATCTCACGGATAGGCAACATGGGATGGGGAGGGAGATCTGGCCTTATCTGGGAGTTCATGGAAGGCTCCTAGGAGGAAAGGGAAACTTAGCTGAGCGCTAAAGATGAGAAAAGATTAACTGGAGAAAAAAGAGGGGAAAGGATGGTCTTTCCCTAGCAAAGTAATCTACTTGCAAGGGTAGGCACAAGGACCTCAGGGGAATGCAGGGCTCAAATTTTGCGGGGAGCCTGCAGCTTACTGGATGAGGAGGTTTTGGACGTCATCCTCCTGGAGAGGAAATACATGGTTCCGCAGCTCTTTTCTAGGAGTGGAAGCAATTCATGTCCTGATTGGATTTTTCCAAAATAAATTTGATGCCGAAGGGTGGAAGACTCTAGACATTGGGACAGATGGACGGGGAGCTGGCAAACATGAAATTAAATCTTTGTTTTCTTTGTCTGCTCTCTTTCCCTAATTAACACACGCTAGCTCTGCAAACACACTGGCTTGGTTATGAACTCTGGCCCCTGAGGTATTTAGACTCCAGGTCCTACAAGCAAGAAAAGACAAATAGTAGGTGACTCCTTTCCTATTCTTCTCCACCCTTCTCCTTCATCTTTAAGGAAAAAAAAACCCATATGGCTAAATTTTATGAGTGCAAGAATTTTCACTGTACTTCAGTGGCAGAGGAATAGTCAATTACTTATTTTCAAGGGGCTGGTGAAGTCATATCCATGTCTCGGTTTGCTGTATCATCTTGCTTTATGAACTTGCCTCTTTCTATACAACTAGTGAGATTTGCCAGATTTAATTCTCCAAAGGTCCACGCTGGGCAGCCAACCACTGGCAGAGCTCTGGTTCTCTGGCTCTAGTTTTTATTTTCTTCTCCTCTTTGATGTTGTCTGGATCAATATTTTTGTGACAATACTGGGATATTCTGAGATAGGGGGCTGTGGAGATTAGGGTTGGAAGAAGCCACTTGGCCTGCTTTGGTCCTAGGCTCCAGGCTGCTCTTAGACAAAAGAAATGCTCCATGTGTTCAGGTAAAAACTTGGCAAACAAATTTTCATAGTGGATGAATGTCTTTTCTGTTTATCTCTTCTCCTGCATGTACAAAGAATGGCTGGCAATAGAGAGAATATTTAATTTTAAAAAATTATAATAGTAAGAGATATACTGTTATCGATCCCCCTCAAAATATTCCCGCTCACTTCAAACACACTTATCCCATGTTCCTGCCACTTCCTCAAGCGGTTCTGAAAGTCCTCTTTCCTAAGGGTCTTTATGAGAGTGATTAAAAAAAAAGGCGAACGCTATCTAATGGAAAGGCAGGCTCACAAAAACATTAAAGTGTGTCCTCATCCACCTTTTTCGTGAGGCCTGGCACTGTGTGACTTCTGGCTCTTCCCCAAAGTCAAAATGACCACGAAATTTAATTGTTTTGAATGGATTCAAGATATCAGGGCAGTGTCAGACTTAGATCATGCTGGAAGTAGGCTGAGGATAGGAATTGGTTGTTTTCTGAAGATCATTTTACTCTGTTCTGTTTCTACTGAAGAACTAGTATGTGGTACCTTATTTTTGAAAGTTTGGGTATTTCATGCTGAAATGCTGTACCCCATCCATTTTCGTGACCCCCCAAAGCACACCGTTCTGCTACTTTAGGGAAGGAGTTATCTAGGTTACTCTGTCCCTTCCACAATTTGTTACAAGCCAAATTAGTCAACTCTGCCAAGAAGAGTATATCACTAGTGGTTCCAAAAATATAACATTAAAATCAGTTTGTGAAAAGTACATTTCTGTCAACTCATTTTAATGGTGCAAATCTCCACTTCAATATTAGCAGCTGTGGTACATTACGATGCCAAAATATAGGCGTTTCATAAAGAGGAAAATACTAAAATTTTGAGTTGGGGATGTAGTTCAGTGGAGCCTCCATCTGCCTCACAGGCGAAAGATCCTGAGTCCAATCCCCGGTACCAAAGGAAAAAAAAAAGTTTTTATTTAATGTGTGTCAGGTTCACAATAAGGAAGTGAATATAAACTTACAATGCATTTTTTCCCGGGCTCATTTCTCCTATCATTAATTTGATTATTCAGGAATCTATTTCATTTGCTTATTTATTCATTCATCTAGTACTTACTGAGATCCTACTATAAGCTAGAAGTTGAAGTTCTGGAAGGGTAAAATGAGGTTAAATAGGCTGGAGCTGTCTTCCATGGTGAACAGATGGGTTTCATCACTGACACGTGGGAGTGTTGGATTTTATTTCGTGCTTTACAATGACAGCCAATGGCAGTGGTGGGGGCAGATTAGGTGGGCAGATGTTGGAGGCAAATGGACCATCTGGAAGAACCAATGAGCCTGAAGTGTCTGTTAACAATGTGCCCCTAGGGCTGGGGATTTAGCTCAGTGGTTCCGGTACCTGCATTGCAAGTGCAAGGTCCTAAGTTTGATCCCCAGTACCAAAAACAGAAACAAAAACAAAAAAACACAATGTGCTCCTAGTGAGGTGTGGTCTGGTGAGATATCATGTAAAACATGATCATTATTTTTAATATTGTCTTTATAGATGTGCTTGATGTTACTGATCACTGAGGAAGTTCAAGGGACCATTAGTGCCAGCATTGGGTAATTGGCACTAAATAAAACCAAAGGACTAGGTGGGCATGATGGCACATGCCCATAATCCCAGCTACTCTGGAGGCCCAGGCAGAAGGATTATGAGTTTGAGGCCAGCCTGGGCAACATAGTGAGCCCCTCCAATTCCCTGCAAAATAAAGCAGAAAATGGTGCTCTGAGATTGGATGGGAGGGAGAAATAAAGGCCAATGTGCAGAATCCAAAATTACATCAATTCTTCCTAAATCTTTGGGATTAACCATGCCTGGCTGGTGCACAGCGATATTTATGGGTCTTTGTTGCTAGTACATGTGAAGGGTGTTAATTACACGGAAGAAAAATATACATACAGAAGCAGCCAGAGAACTGGATGACAATATTGAGTGATGTTACCTAATCCAGGCAGGAGAACTGCCATAGGGATTTTCCTCAGCACATTTGTTAACGTTCATCAGTTGGCCAATTTCTAAGCCCCTCTCCACCTTGACTCCTTACAAACATTGAACTGTAAACCCATAACACTGACAATAGGAGTCATTGGCACTGAATGTGAACACAAACCTGACTCACATTGTTCATAAACTCATGGAAGCAAAGGAGAGTGGGAAGATTCTTAAAGGGCACATGGTCCAAATCCCTGTTTGGCTGACTGGATGGCAATTAGTTAAAAAAAAAAAAACTATTGCAGCTAAATATAAGCTCTATGTTTAGTCCCATCAAATAAGATAAGCTGTATTCATCTTTAAAAGCAAGAACAGTGCCTTTCTCCCTGGCCTACCTATTTTAAACAACTAAATTTTATGTTTTGAGGCATACTGCATTCATTTAAAGATTAGAAAAGTGGCTGAGAAATTCTTAAAGCAAGAAGCACATCTTAAAATCTTAAAAACATTTCTTAGAGGAAAATTAAATTGAAGAGTATATTAAATGTGAATTGATACTATGAGAATACAAAATGCATGAAGAATTATATGATAGTTCCATTAATACTCCATGTACAAGTTTATTGAATGGAAAATAGGCTGAAATTTCACCTGAAAATGTCACTACAGATTATGAAAGGTTTTCACTTGGAATTTAGATAGAAGTTCCTTTTTTAACATTAGTGTCCTTCCAAGGAAAAACTTACGTTTTTCTTGGGTACAAGTTACTTTGATTTGTGTGGTGAAAGAAGTTAACACTTCAAAAGAAGATGCATGCCTAACAGATCCATTTCACACTCATCCACATTTATTGATTAACATTCACTCAAAAACAAAGACTGCCTTGAAAAAAATTCAGAAAAGATTATTGAGTTATTAACAGCTGGAGAAGCAGGGATGATATCCACTCTACTCTTTAGGAATTATTTTATCTCTCTGTCGAGCTTATTTCAGAAAACTCTTCTCTTTCTGTTAATAATGAAGAAAGATACTTTAAACTCAAAACCTCACGCAGTATTTGAAGCAATAAGTAAAGCCCAGACACTGGAGGTATAAAGCAGAGGAAGCATACTTGCTTAGAAAACACTAGGCCCTGGGTTTGATCTCTAGCATTACAAAAGAAGAAAAAAAAAAAAAGAAACCCTTATAACAGCCTAATCCAGCATGGTGATGGTATGTCTATAACTGCACCTACTCAGGAGGCTGAGGCAGGGAGATCATGAGTTTTAGGCCAGCAATAAATGGAACAAAAAAAAATCTCAGTAAGAATTGAGAACATATCTTCAAGACCTCTTGCTCTCATGATTTTCTTGTACAGTACTTCCTAAGTATGAGAATCACTACAGAAAGATTCATTCATTTTTCTACTCATTCAATCCACATGTATTTATTAACCTTTTAATATGTGCCTACAACTATTTCATGGGGTAACCATTTTGCACTTACTTCCTTTTCTTTTAAAAAATTTTTCAACAAACACTACCTAGAAATGCTAGAAATAGGTTCAACAGGTGTTTAACTGGGCATCTACCATGAGCCAACTACCATAGTAGATCAAAGAGATCAAAATGGGCACAGCATGGTCCCTGCCCACACTGGGATACAGTGCCAGAATGGAGGTCAGTTCAGGGTGCAAGACAGGAACACAGAGGCCCTGGAGATCTGGAGGTCTACGGCCCTTGTACGTACCACACAACCATGTGAGATGCCCTCTGCCCCAGCAACTTTCCATAGCATGGCTCTTCCTACAGCAAGCTGAGTAGAGAGAGGAGGAAGTTACATCTATGTTTAGGTCAAGGGAGGCAAAACAGGTTTATGAGAAGGCCTGATGATATACTCAAATTATCCTTCTCTCACTCACTCATTCCCCGAGTGACAGCTCACTGAGTATCACACCAAGCACCAGAGGTAGAATAGTTGCATCTTATATTTTAAAAGTGACTTATGCCAGGTGTGGTGGTGCACACCTGTAATCCCAGCACTCTGAGGAAGGATTATAAGTTCAAGGCCAGCATGGGCAACCTAGCAGTTTAGCAAGACCCTGTTTCAAAATAAAAACTGAAGAGAGCTGAATATATATCTCAGTTCAAAGGCACTGGGTTCAATCCTTAGTATTGCTCCCCCCAGTGGCTTATAAACCTGGCATTTAGCTATAAATTGCTCTAATATACAACCCAACGAATTCAAGAAACACTTCAGAAGTTGATGCTGTGGAAACCATCATACAAAGAACAGCAACCAAAGATGAGAGACCAGCGGAATATATGAAATCGGGATGCTTAGAAAACCAGGAATAGTCTCTAGCCAAGAATTTCCCCACCCGCCCCATATGATTTAAACAGCCCTTCTTCTGGAAAGAGGGCAGAAGTTTTGTTCCTTTCCTATAGACAGCTAATAAATGGCTTGGTGGATTCAGGATACTAGAACATGGGACAGATCCAATATATTGAACTCTCAAGTGTATACACTGGGGGGATTATTTTTGGGACTGGGCAGAGAATCATCATTAATAATCATCTCAGCACTCTGGATATAGCCTCAGAGTGCTCAGCAAGGTTAGGGAAATATTAATATTTAAATATGATACATGAGACTAAATATTTCGGCCACCATGTGTTTATATACATGAGGTGGTTCCACTAGGCACACAAGAAAATTAGTTGTAATCTCATTCTATAAACACAGTGAGCGACACGTGTACACCCACACATGCAAATGGGGAACAATTTTCTAATATGTTACAGACTCAATTAACTGCATTTTCAGTGCTAAGCAGTGGTGGACAAAAGAGACTTTAAATTAAAATCAAAGAAATTATTTCCTAACATTGCTGATGCCCATTTTTAATGTTCTATTCAGTGTTTTTGGCAGGCTACCCTGAAGTTGCTTTTCTATTAATAAATGTGTGATTTCCCAAGGCTCCATAAGCCCACAGCTATGATAAGCATGAGTCTTCCCAAACTGTGTTGAGGGCATTGAGTCAAACCCAGACTTTTGGTCTCGTTGGCCATGGTAGCAACTGCCTTCGCCTTGTCCTTTCTGCTGAACAGAAAGCCAATATACTCACTCTGACAGGACATTTTAAAATCATTAATTTAGTGCTTTGCTATTTTCTTATTTTTGGAAATGAATGACTTGGACAGAAACTAATCTAAGCTAGAAAATCTTTCCAAGTATCTCTTTTCCAAATTTTCATCAGCTATTACTTGGGGGATTAATATCTAAAATATATAAAGAACTCAAAAATATTATCCCCCCAATAAAAGACCCAATCAAAAAATGAGCAAGTGAAATGAACAGACTCTTTTCAGAAGTACAAATGGCTAATAAACACATTAAAAAAAAATTCAACATTGCAAGGACCACCAGTTATCAGGCGCAGGATAAAGTAGCCTCTAAAATCTGTGACAGTTTTCTCCCATGAATCTATGCACTTATGGAGGCACTGCATAAAGCAAGAATGAGAAGAATTCTTTAAGTCATGACTCATATAAGAAAAAAAGATCTAAGAACTATCACGATTAAATACAATAATAATTAAGGGCTACTCACCACACTAGGTAATTAGACTTTTCTGATGCAAACACAAGCTTATTACCCTTTACCTGTCCCACATATTTAGATAAGCACTCATGAATATGTGTTTGAACAACACTATTAAAAAAAGGGTGTTTTATTTTTCAAGTCATAATGCAGGATTTTAAAAAAGAACCATGATAGCAAGTTAAATGGAACAATAATCTAGTGGTGAGTCATTCTACTTTATAATACATAGAAATCTGCTGCTAATATATAGATGCATAACTGATTCCTACATTGATCCTGCATTTCAAGATTTTAATAAATGTAATTCATGGTTTTGATAGTCATCATGTAGATTCCTTAGGAATTTCTTTATAAGCAATCATGTAACCCACCAGTATATATTTACTTCTTTCTTTCCTACATTTATGTCTTTTATTTATTTTTCTTGTCTTAGAACTCTATTTAGAACTTCAAATACATTGCTAAGTAGAAACAAGAGTGTACACCCCTGTGGTTCACAATATTCTGGGGAGGGCTGGGGGTTTAGCTCAGTGGTGCCGCCACCTGCCTCACAAGCACAAGGTTCTGAGTTTGATCGCTACCAAAACAAACAAACAAACAAACAAACAAAAACCAGTATTCAGGGGACAGCATACATTGTTTCACCACTAAATATAATGTCCATTGTAGTATTACTGCAGATGTCCTTTTTTCAAATTTACTTCCACTTTGTTAGATTTTCATGAACTGACGCTGAGTGCTGTCAAATACTTTTGCTGGCATTATGGTCAAAGAACATACTCTGAGATTTCTAGCTTTTAAAATTTATAGAAAATTGTTTTATGGCCTAGTTTACTTTGGCAAACATATATATGCACTTAAAGACACTATAATATGCAGCTACTGGATACAGTATTCTAGATGTGTCTGCTGATCTTCAGATCCTCTATCTCTATTGATATTTTGTCCTTTAAATACCGAGAAAGGACTTAATCTTTCCAAACATGAGCGTGCATTTATTGGTTTTGCATCTGTCATTTTTTATTTATTGAAATAAAGTCTCACTAGAGTAACCCAGGCTGGTCTGGAACTTAAAATCCTCCTGGCTTGACCTCCCAAATGGCTGAATTACAGGTATGTGCCACTATGCCCAACTTCTGTCAACTTTTGATTTATCTATTTTAAGACTTCTAAAAATAACTGTACATACAATTTTGAAACTTTTGAAAAGCACCCACATATTTATAATGTGTATGTCTTTGAATACATGCACATGTACATATTCAAAGGAATATGACAAATGGAAAAGTTCCTCTGTCCATGGTAATACTTTGTCTTGAAGTCTACTTTAATGTCAATAAAGTTACTGCAGATATCTTATGCTCATGCTTGAATGGTATTATTTTTTTCTGTCCTTTACTTTCAACTCACATCTTTCTTTTTTGAAAAGCATCTTTTGTAAAAGTATGCTCATTTATACTTACACAAGAAGATATACACTTCACAGAGAGAGAAGTACAAAAGGCCAATACAGACACAAAGAACTGTTCAAAATTTCTGGTCATTACGAAGATGCAAATTAAAACAACACTGAGATTCTATCTTATCCCAGAAAGAATGGGTATTATTAAGTTATTAATAATAAATGCTAGGGAGGCTGCAGGGAGCTAGGGACCCTCCTACATTGTTGGTGGAATGTTAACTATTGCAACCACTGTGGAAATCAATATGGAGATTCCTCCCATTTTAATCCTTTTATAAAGTTAGGAAGCCTTTTGTAGGGCAAATAATTATCCTGTTTATTCATGTTAAAATGTCTGCACTTGTGCCATTATTTTCTCATTATGCAGAGCACACTTGTACACAAGCTTACCTTCACAAGATGTGATGTGCTTCCGGTCAGTGAGGCTGAAATGGTATGATCTGAGAATATTGTCTTGGGCTTCCAACATATGTGATAGACAGCTGGCTTAATTTGGATTTGTGTTTTGGTATTATGTAGGATATTCAAATTATAGCTATATCTGCATTTTCTCAAGGGAGTTGGGACAGGCAATTAAGGCAGAACAGGAATTTATGTTTGAGCAAACCACTGTGCAGGAAATACAAAATGTTAACACTGGAAAAGTATTTGTCCTTCAAGTATTCTGGGGAAATGAAACTGCTGTTTGATGGTATGAAAGAATGAAGATATTGTTCTTGCACAACTACTACATTCACTGCATTGCAGAGCTGCAAGGAAGATGAAGAGAAGATGCAAATACAGCATCTGCCTTTACCAAGTGTGTAATTGAGCCACACACTCCCCTGTGCCTCTCTAGCTCCACTGTCCAACTCTGTGCCCTGGGCGATGCCTCTTCCTCAAGGTAGCACTGGGTTCTCTTGACCTCTGGCTTGTAGCTGGTTTTGGCCAGTGGTAAACATTAACAGGACATCAGAGTAAAGGAGGAGAGGACAGTCTGGACATTTATCCCCAAAGCTGTCAACCTGCGGCGTCATCAGAAGCTGACGACTCCTCTCCATTGAAGGTCAAGGTTCCTATATGGAACCCATTTCCTGTATTGTATTTGTTTTTTTTTCCTGAGTTCAAGTAAAACAGTTTCCCCTTTTGAACCTGTAGACCCTGGCATGGAAGTAGATCTCATTTCCACCAGCTCAGTGGTACAGAACCATGTTTAGCAGTTTCCCTGAGGCCTACACACACCTTTATCTTTTTTCTTTTTTCTTTTTTTTTTTTTTTTGAGACAGGGTCTCACTGTGTAGTTGGGACTGACCTGGAACTCACTATGTAGTTAAGGCTGGTCTTGAACTCACAGCAATCCTCCTGCCTCAGCCTCCCGAGTGCTGGGATTACAGGTGTGCGCCACCACATCCGGCAATACACACCTTTATTAAACACTCTTCTTTTTGCCCATTTGAAGATGCCATGCTTTCCCGGGGAACCTCTGAGTGACTCAGCAATAAAATGAACCAATAATGAACAATATAAGATACTAAATGATGTGAGCCTTACAAATGCTACAGATGACAATGTAATTTGAAGAAGCAGAGGGTGGAGGCTTAGGATCCTAAGGTTCAAGAGAAGGTGAACCTGGAGATGCAGTTAAAAGAGAAAAGGAAGGGAAGGGGAGAAGGGAGGGGAGAGGAGAGGAAAGGGAAAAAGACTACTAAAGAGCATGAAATAGTGAAGGTGCAAAGACAAAGTTGGACCAGCTCACATCAGACTGCAT